GAAAATCAACTCATGGGTTTCTTTTTCTTTCCTATATGAGTATGGGGCTCCGCTTGGTGGCCCTTCAGGCAGCTGGAGCTCCGCTAAAAAGTTTATTTGCGTCCGACACAAGTACTTACTGTAGTTTGAGTCGTCTTTTCATGAGTCTGGGCTCACAAAGAGTTTACAATAACTTGAAATGCGTTCTTGTAATAAGTATTAAATAATGCTAAAATGAGATATTTTCAATACCTCACTGCCCCTTAACGAGCATGGGCAGCCCCCTTTTTTATTTCATAATTAAAGTTCTCATATGATAAATATTTAGTGAACAAAGTTTGAACAAAAATCTATTGGCAGTTTTATTTCAGGGGAATTACCCTAAGGTTACAGTATACCTTCAGGGGTGTCTCGCGTGCAAGCGATGTAGCGCGTGCAGTTTAGGCTGTAGATACCTAAACCCCTATAACAAATTAAAGCTTATAGAGCTGGCTATCAAACTATGCCAACAATTTCGAAATAAAATGAATTGTCGAATTTTTCACGACCACTAAATGCGAGCGCCCGAAACACCTTTCGAAAGCTACAAGTCAAAACGAATTTTGTTTTTCGCCAATTTAATTTTTTTCCTTGGTTTCTGTGCCCAAAGCGCTTTAAAAACATGTCTGCGTTTGGCATATTTAATTGTAGTAAAAAGTTACAGAATATTTTCGAAATAGGATTAAAAAAATGTGGAGTGATATTACAAAAATCGCTCTCGAAGAAAAAGTATCTCGAAATTAACAATTTCCAGACACGCTTTTGTAGTTCATATGTTAAACTAGCTACTGTCCAGATTTGAGGGCAATTGAACAAATTCCCTTTGAGTTATAACTCTTTAAAGTGTCTGCTTCAAGTGAAAAAATTTATTCGAGAAAACAGCGCTAAGAAAAATCTTCTGCCTCGCAAGCAAACTCCGCCCACAAACGCCTTCAACTGGGTTCTCAGATAACTGAGCCAATCAGTGCAGGGAAAGTTTACCACAGTTAACCTCCTGGTGAAATTTACGCGCAAATCTCTAAAAGAAACCCTTCTGTTTCGCAATGCGCTCAAGGCGCCGAAGGTTTTTCTTGAAGTTGGTTTGGCAAAATGGGGAAGACTAAAAAGGATACCAACGCTAGACTGGCTGAGCGAAGAAAACAAGCAAAAGAAAGCGCGGGGAGCAACTGTGTGTGGTCAACTCTGCATGGATAATATTTCAAATGGTGTCAGTGAGTCCGACGATTCGTCGATATCAGACTCATCAGAAGAGTCTCTGTCAACATCCTTGTTATTGCTGTCAAGTTCCGAAATTTTTACAGAACCTTTCTTTCTACTTTGACCCAAAAATCCAAATTTGAAGAAAATTGCCGACCAGAAGGTATACGTAGCTCCTATTAACCGAGCTGGAGGTCTGTATGGGAGAATCTTGGCCGAGGTCGTAAGTACAGACCGAACGCAGTGAGGTCTGTACACACGACCTAGGTCAAGATTCTCCCATACAGGCCGACTCAGCTCGGTTAATAAGATGTTTGTTATATGGCAAAGAAGAAAACTTTAATTCGTTTAATGTAACTGGTTTGCTGACATTTTGCTTGCGAACGGCGATGAGCTTAACTTAAATCTGCCGAAATTTGCTCGTCCTCTTTACTTTTTTTTTCTTGTCATCAGGCTTTCTGGCACTTCCATAAATGATTGAGAAGAAAATAAAAGAAAATGGTGAACTTTTTTGTATTTTAGTTTGCTACTTTTTCAACGCAAAATGAAACCGGTCTAGATGCCGGTCTAGATGAAAAATTCTAGACCGCGGTCAATATCGATTTCAGCCAATCAAATTCGTGAATTCGGTAGTTCCCAGTCCTTGTGAGACACAGCCATGTAATAATGTAACCTTAATAAAGGTTTGACTGTACAACAATTTAAAAGGGCGCGTGACCACCATTGTGACCAGCTAGAGAGAAAGAGATTAAATTTGTTTGTTTACTACATATATAACTGTTGTTGCCTGATTTGCCTCCTTTCGACCTCTCTTTCACCGAAAGAAGTCTGACAGGGCACAGGGAGCAGAGGATCGATATGTTGTTGATTCAAGTAACTGTACGTGATCATACTGTGTGGAATCCCGATTTCTCTAACCTCCCGATAACTCGAACCAAAAGTCGTTTCCCCTCCTCAATAAAACACTGTAATTTCACCCCCGATTTCTGGGAATCTCAGTTTTTCGAACCAATTTTCGTTTCCCTTGGAGGTTCGAAAAATCGGGATTCCACTTTACATGCATCGTGTTACGCGTCTGTTGAAATCTTTTAAATCAACAACAACTCGATTCGCGCTACAATTTTACGGTGAATTTAACGGGAAATACGGTCAAATACGACTCCTCTGCTCCCTACAGGCAGTGATGTTCATCTATCTTCGCAAAATGTTTTTGACTTAAGTGTAGGCGAAACAACTTTAATGTAGGCGAATCGACTCAGATCGTGTAGGCGAAACGACTTCGGTCGCGTAGGCGAAACGACTGACATCCGATTGTGTGCTTTAAATATATAATTAAATATTGTATGTACGTGAGCCCGGTCTGTTGTCTTCCCTCCCCCATCATCAACGATCTACTCGTTAACTCGCCTCCTCGTTCCTATGTGATCATAGCCACGAGGTTTAGCCACGAGGGTGTTCATTTATAAACCGCGCGGCCTCGGCCGAGCGTGGTTCTTCGCCAAGCTATTTCCAGTAGAGGTGGAAAGAAAATTTGAGAGCTGGTTTTTGAGCTTCTTGAGTTGTAATTTTATGACGAACCAGTCTGAGGCGGCGAAATGTGTTGGGTAATAACAAAATAAGCCCTTGTGGTAAGTTAAGGTTTTACATTTACAATTTTCTTTTGTGCTCAAAATTTTCACGATGGACCTTTCGCGAATTTTGTCATTTCACCAATTATTCCTACGAGAAAGATTTAACATGCGCCCTCGCGGCCCTTCATTCGCGTTCACCTTTGGTGCAACTGTGGTCGGTACCGGTCACCTTGGGATCACTAGAATGTGCAAGGTCTGCCGCTTTAAAATAAGTTTCATTTGTGTAAAGTAAAATTCTGTTAACAGAAATTCATGCACGAAGATGCAAAAGCCTCAACCCGAAGATGAAAATTTCGTGGAATCCTCAAGAATTCTCTCACGCAGCACGGACCAAGAATTCGTCGAGGAGACAGCTGAGACAGCTGATCAGATCGGCGGTGGGGCAGACATGGAATTTGTGCAGACACAGTTCAGCCCGAGAGGTGTTTTGCTGTTGCATTTTCGAGGGGACGCGGCTGCAGAAGTGGACAAGCATTTTAACAGGACTTTTTCGGAGTTGTGCCGTTTACCCGACTCAAGTGCATCGAACAGCAGAATGGAGAGCTCGCATTGGCAAGGTGTGTACATTTGTAACAAGTCGGGAACGCCATTGCGCTTTTTTTTTCAGAAAAAATTTGTCGCACGTAGATTTTCACATCAAACTGAAACACGTTGTAGTAAAATTTATTTAACCACAGTCAAATAATTAATGATATTTCTTATAACTCGTACAGGCAGTTACCTACGCAATACACTAAATCAGTTCTTGTTCAATTTTAAGTGTGCATTTGTTCATACTGCATGTAGCTACGAAATAATGCAGTGAATAATGACAACTTTTTTTCACAATTCCTGTTTTTCCTTTTTCAGGAAAGTTTGTCAAATTCTTTGAGCAAATAAACCAGAAATCGCACCTTACAATCAAATGTAAATTTGATTTCACACCTTAGTGACAGCAATTCTCATTTCCGTGGATTTCACGTACATTCACTGTACATTCTTTTCTTTTGCTTGATTCTGTCGGACAGTGGCACTCTTGTAAGACTGGAATTTCTATGAATTACGAACATCAAGATTAATTTTCGGGTCCCAATTCTGCCTTGAAATATATAAAATCGGGATTGTGCGCGTACGATATAACATGCGCGTCTGAAATCCAGGTAGGTGGATTTTCTTGTTGCCGTTGTTTTAACCATGTATGTAATAATTCGTTCATTTTCTTAGTGAAAATTGCGTGATGTGTGTTGAAGCATGATTGGCCGCGATGATGTGACAAACGGGAAATGGAGGAAAAAGGAAAAAAAAAACCTCATGCATGCAGGGCGTGCCGAACAGTGAAATTGGCTGGCAACAGAACCGTCAGGGTTGAATAAATTTCATGCGACAACAAGAAAATCTGTTCGCACTTCCGCTTGCTCATTGTATTGAGATGGGCAAACTTGTGTTTGTCACGTTCGCAAATTTAAACCTCATAAAACCGCTGTCTGTACTATTTATTTGTTTGTTTGTTTATTTATTTATTTATTTGTTTGTTATTTATTCATTTCAGAAGCACCAAGCCGTCCCATGTCTCAAAGGAACCTTCCAGTCTCGTTTTTTAATCCGTCTCAAACGGACCAGTCCCAGCACCTGCAAGGAGCCTTCAGTCACAGTGGCAAGCCAATACATGCGTTTCAACAAAATCATAACACAATGACCCATTGTAACAGAAGCTGTCATTCAACGGGTCACCATGGAAACTACGATCAAAACAGGCCACATTTCGATTGCACGAGAGATATTCCAGTCTCTTATACTCAGCTACCAACAGGGGTGGTGAAAGGTTTCTCCCCAGGGCTGGCGCCGCATATGCCTGCAGAGCCCTGTCGCGCACCCGTGCCTTCGTTTCCGCTGACGACTGCTGTGCAGAACAACGATTTGCAGCCGTCTTCCTTGAGGTTCAACCCTCGCTACAACTCTCTTCTAGTTCAACCCGACGTGAAGCCTCATTTGCCGGTTGTCCCTGGAGAACCAACGCGCACAAAGATTGAGGAAAGGGGAAAAGATCTCGAGGAATTCCCAGGAGAATTGCTAATGAGCAAAGGAGAACACTAAAAAGAAAAAGGTCAAAGTAATTGCGCTTTGTCACGAAAGAAGTTTACACTAGTCAACGGGCAAGCGCTCCGCCTGTTTGTAGCATAATGTATGTAGAAATGTCTCTAAACGTAACATTTAGTAACTTGCTAAGTGTTGGGCAATAAAAGAATGTATCCTTTTGCGCATTTCTATCAAGTAACTGATCTGCATACTTCCAAAAGATATGTAGTGCGTGCTGAGTTTCTGAATAAAAGAAAAACGCTGTTTTTTTTGCAGCGGAGTGAGGAAACAACAACCATGAACAGAAATTATGACGGGGTGACTTTAACCTTGGAGACCTGGTGCGGGCCGGGTAGAAGAACAACGTGCCGAACGTCTCGAAAATTTTCGTGGCGTGCCTCGGTCCCGCACTAACTGCCCCCGCAACCCAGCATGGGTCTCCCAGGATGGGCTAAATCTGAAATGTGTAAAGAAATTCCTGTTTCGAGCCCTCCAGGTGTATCTCTTTTAAACTAGGAAGTTCGATGCGCGGAGTCAAATTAAATTATTCAGTCTGCATAACAATCCCCGCCTAGAACCGCGAGCGGTAGCCCGACTCGCTAAGCGCGACTCCGACCGAACTCGGAGATCGCGAAGTGGTCATGATATCACCACCGAAAGAGATGCTGGAAAAAAAAGAAATAAATAGATAAAGAACTCGGCAAAAGAACTAGCTGATACTCGGTCAAGGCATGTTAAGTTCAAATTGCAAATGATTTATTTTGACAGACTTAATAACGAGTTTCCAAACTCCAGTGTGATTATTCCGTATGCAAAGGTCTGAAAACGCATCAATGATATTTTTAAATCGATGTATATGTAATAGGTTTACAAATGTCAGTTGTCAGTTAGCGCCATCCGCACCCTAAAAAGAAAGAAATCAGCTGAGTTTGTTTTAGCCAATCAACCCAACTCAGGTTGATGAACTTCGTTCAATTATCTGTAAATACAGTTTGGGTATGGGTCTTGGCGGCTGGCTGTTTTATCATGACAAAAAAGCCTTTTCTTTCGATCGACACTCCGAGAAAATTCTTTAATGCGTTTTTTCCCTCGCGTTCCTCCGCCATTTTGGAATGGTAAATAGAGGGGAAAACTTCTGATGCTGGCTGACTGCTGGCGCAAGTACTACGTGACAAAATATATTTGTTTTCCTATTTCCAAAATATTTTTCTGCATTTCGACGATTCTTGAATTTGGAAATTAGTTTCGGATTTGTAAAAAATTATTCGTGAATACAATAATTTTATTGAGATTTGCAACAGTTTTATTAGATTTGATAAATTGTTCAAAAACGATTTCCAAAAAAAGACATTGCGGTTTCTCGGATTTAAATTTTTTCGTTGCAGTTGGCTTACAGCTCAAGAAAGGAGAGGATATCTAATGAAATAAAGTCTTAAAAAGGTTGCACGACGCCCAGGGGCAGTTAAGATAAAGACTCTTATTCATGAAATGTGTAGCATTTTTCAAGATCTCTGAGCACCCAATTTGAACGGATTTTAGCATAGATCAGACAAGAATATTTTAATAAGTTCAAGACTTTTTTATTTTTATCTTGTACATTACCCGCTAAAGAAAACTAGATAAACACAAAAGGAAATATACGACTTTGATGCTATCAAAAAAATGATGCTATACATTTTAGCCATTCTATGATGTTCACATTAGAAAGTACTAGAACCTTGTAGTTTTTACCCAAAAAAACAATTCAATAACGGAATGTGACAAGTTTTTAAAAATGCCTGCCTGTTCCTGTCCTGTCCTACTTCCCAAACAAACTAAAAGAAAAGAAAAGAAACAAACACAAAAAAAAACTTGACAACCTGATAAAAAAAAAGATAGTAGTAAAGTAAGGTTAAGGATTCTAATTGAAATTTTAGCATTAAACAATAATCACAAATATTTGACTTAGCTTACCAGAAATACAATCTGATTAGGACAGCACAGACAATTAGTCAACGCCGAACACGTGAGGAATTGGGCATAATCAGGAGCCCACGAAAAGCGTTTACAAATTCAAATTTATCTCAGCCAAACACTTAGCAAGTGATTTTCGTAACTATTTTATTCTTCTCTGAGACGTACTAATTCTTCTGTTTTAACAAAATGTAAAAGGTGCTTTGATACGTGAATCGAAACTTTCTTTTTTTTTTAACTTTTGCCAAGCAAAAAGCAAATTATTCCAAGTTAAAAGAAATTATACTTTGCAGGACCTTAATGAAGGGTCTCTAACAAAAAACAGATCGCAAAAGCGTGCAGACTTTTAAATACACAACGCTATTCTCCAAGATAGATTTCTAGGTTTATTTACAACAGTTCTGTTCACCGATTCCGCACAACTAAAAAAATAATTGAGTTTATTAGAGTTCATTTGCTGATTGCCTTGGTAATTGTTCTTTGGTACTCCACAAGATTTGAACAGTACTCCTGCTCTGTCTGCACCAATGAAATAAGATGCTGTGTTCAGTACGTTACTGAAGCTTCGCTCCCTGAAGTATCCACGCGGTTATTTGACCCGCTAACAAGTGACTTTAAAGATGCATCTTTTTACAGTCAGTTCTGCAGAGGATAGCAGAGAAATAGAAGACTCTGGAGCACCATCAAGCACCTTTCTGAACAGCTTCATCTTTGCACGCCGAAATTAAGAAAACCTTTAGTTGTGCTTTCACTCTTTTGATTTTCTAGAGAAGAAGCCAAGAAAAGGTGAAATTAGACACTTTCATGGTGTGGTTCGCACGGGTCAGTATATATTGGTGAAAATTGCCACCATAAGATTAAATCTCGAAGACAATGGCATTACGCCAGCAGGAAAATTGTTGTAGACTTACGGGTAAAATTACTTCTAATACTAGAAATACTCACCCCAATTACAGAGGTCAATCAAATGTGACATCATCTCCAAGGAGGACAAAAGCAGCCCAGTGCCTGAAGTGGTTGTACATTGCTGACTCTCTTAACTTTTTGACAGACAGGTGAAGAGCCTCACTTGCACTCTTTTGGTCCCGCATTAAGCTTCTATAGAACACGTTCATGAAGACTTTGGTAGCTGCATCGTTCACAGGCCATAACGACATCAAAACGGAGCGAGCACCAGACCCGAGAAACGCCCGAGCTATTCCGACAACTCCCTCGGCTGTCATGATCTTACCACGACCACTATTGCAGCAGCTGAGTACTACCAGCTTGGCCTTTATGCCGACTTTTGCTATGTCCTCCATTGTCAGCATGAAATCTTTCTTTTGTGCGATTTCAACGGTACGGTCATTTGGCGCAAGGGCAATTTCTCCTCTCTCTGCATCACCATGGGCTGCAATATGCACCAGCCCTACATCCTGGATTCTTTTTATCACTTCATTCTTCGTGGCTTGCTCTCCAATAAGCTTGAAGTATGGTGCTGGAACATACCGGGATACCATATCGGCTTCCATTCTGGAGCCTGGTAGAGGTGGTAAAACTCCGATCTTTCCATCAAACTCTACAAGGCCAACCGTCGGATCTGCGACAATCAGTGTCCCAGTTTGAGAATGGTAATTTTCTGGGAAACTTTGAATGACCTGAAGTGATGTCAAAGAGGGAATGAGGCGGATTCGATATGTTTCTGACAAGTGCTTTCCATCGGAATCTTGCAAGGCTGCAAATGGGACTAGGAACAATCCTCCTTCTGGGACAATGACAATCTCTGGACCTTGGATAAGACCAGCAACAGGTGCCATTATCATTTCGTACAACCTTTTGAGATTGGCTTCTCTTTCTTCTTCTTCATTACCCCGGAAATGGTGCTGACTGGGTGTTTCACCAGATTCCTCTGCTGATGACGATTCGTCTTCATAGATTGGTGACAATGATCGGTCTTCGTATTCCTCTGTGTCGTCTGTAGGAAACGATCTCAATGTTGCTGCCACCAGATCTTGCAAAGAAGATGTTTCTGATTTGTTAGCAGACAGCTCTGCTTCACTCCCTCTAGGGCTGAAATGCATTTTACCACCCTTTTCCACGAACCAAAGATAGATCCTCCTTGTTATAATGCTAACGAAGAGAAAGTCACTTTGCTGTTTTTCAAAGAGATTTGCAATTGAACTTGGAGTGAATTCACCTTTGTCGGTGACCTCCTGGATCCCAAAATTGGCGGACATCAAATCTACCAGTGCACGAGCTCGTCCTCGTTCTGCTGTACAGAGGGCGTCGGCCACTTTTCCAAGGGACAACAATAGCAAAGTAAGTCCCTTGTAAAAAGAAATGCTCTGATCATCTAATGAAAGCTTATATTCATCTTTAAGAGACTCCCGTGTATTTTCGTGGCCTTTAATGCTCTGAAGGAAGTAGTCGGATGCTTTTGTGAAGCTGTTCTCGTGGAAATGGCTCACGCCTAAACTGTAAAGAACCATGTGCTCTTCACGTTTTATTCCAGTTTCTTTTATTAATTCAAGTCCTCGTTCCAGATAGCTGATGGATTTCTCATAGTGGCCAAGTATATATTGAACATATCCGAGGTTGACATAAGTAATTCCTTCCCCTTCTCTGTCTCCAACTTCTTTTCTGATTTCAAGAGCTTTCTCGTGAAACTTCATTGCAGCATCATATTGGCCACGAGCACTGTGTATACTACCGAGATTATTGTATGCTATGGCTTCCCCTTTTCGGTCTTTAATTTGAATGCAGATGCCGAGTGCCGTTTCTTGACATTCCATCGCCCTATCATACTGGCCGAGGGCACGGTAAAGACTTCCTAGGTTATTGTATGCTGTTCCTTCGCCATCCCTGTCTTCGATCTCCTTATAAATTTCCAATGCTTTCTCCTGAAACTTTATTGACTTCTCATACTGGCCAAGGTTGTAATACACACCCCCAAGGCCATTATAGGAGGTCGCTTCAGCTTCTCTGCTACCAGTCGCTTGGCTGATCTCGACTGCTTTCTCGAAATAGTCAAAGGACTTCGCATATTGGCCAAGCACCATGTAATCTTCTCCGAGAGTGCAGTAGGATTTTACTTCTCCCGCTTTGTGAGCGGTTACCCTGCTGATTTCCATTTCCCTCTCGTGATAGTTGATGGACATCTCAATTTGTTTGCCAGAATCACTTGGATTGCGATCCTTACTTGCAACTACATCGCCCATTCCACTGGGCCTGTCTTGATACTCAATAGATTTTTCATAAAGGTCGAAAACATAATACACACATTGGGCACAACGTTCCTGAGATTCATCTTTTTGTTGTCTCCCTCCAATATCTTTCGCGATCTTCTGTGCATTCTCTTGGTAAATGGCAGCTTCCTCTTGCTTGCCAAGTGCATTGTACAAGGTGTATAGATTCTGGCAGGCAGCTTCTTCTTCTTGTTTGTCTCCAATTTCTCTGCTGATCTCTAACACTTTTTTGTAATTCACGATAGACTTCTCAAGTTGTCCCTGAAGATGATAAACACTTCCAAGGATCTTGTATGATCTGAGTTGTCCTCTTACAGCACAAATCTCTTTACAGACTCTCAGCGCGTTTTGAAGATACATCAAGGACTTCTCATATTGACCAAGAGCATAATAAGAACTGCCAAGGTTGCTGTACGATGCTGCCTCTCCGTGTTTGTCTCCAATCGCCTTAAAGATGTCAAGAGCTTTTTCTTGATGCTCCACTGAGTTCTCGAACTGCTTTTGAGCATGGTAGATGGTAGCTAAATTGCTGTAAGATGACCCCTCTCTTCTCTTATCTCCAACTGTCTTGCTGAATTCAAGAGCTTTCTCTTGGTGTTGGATTGATTTTTCAAACTGGCTGAACATGTAATATAAAGTGCCGAGAACATCGTGAGATCTTATTTCCCCTTCTCTGTTTCCGACTGCTGTGCAAATTTCAAGGGCTTCTTCTTGGTTTTCAATTGACTTGTCATAGTCGCCGAGGTTACTATACAACAGGCTGAGGGCGCTGTGACAAAATTCTTGTCCTTCCCTGTCTCCAAATTCTTTCTTGATTTCGAGAGCTCTTTTAAAGCAATCCATCGAGTTCTGATGCTGGCCAAAAATGTAGTATATTCTGCCAAGATTGCTGTAGGAAATTCCTTCTCTCAGTTTATCGCCAACCTCTTTATTGATCGCGAGTGCTTTCCTTTCGAATTCAGCTGACCTCTCATACTCACCGAGAGCATGGTACACAATGCCGAGGTTGCTGTAGGATGCTCCTTCTCCTTGCTTGTCCTCAATTTCTTTGCTAATTTCAAGTGCCCTCTCAACGTATTTAATTGACTTGTCATGTTGGCCCAGTAGTTGGTAGACCGTACTGAGGTTGTTGCAGGATGTTATCTCTCCCTCCTTGTCCCCAATTGTTGTACTAATTTGAAGACTTCTGAGGGTGGATTTAATAGATTTCTGAAACTGGTTGAGTGCACAGTACGCGGAGCCTAGATTGTTGTGGGAGGTTCCTTCTCCTTGCTTGTCACCAATAGCTTCCCGAATCTCAAGACTCGTCTGATGCTTTTCGACAGCCTTCTCGTACAAGCCAAGATCATAATAGACATTTCCAAGCTGGCTGTGTGATCTTGCTTCAGCCCTTCTGGCACCAATTGATTTACTGATCTCAATCGCTTTTTCTCTGCACTGGATTGATTTCTCATATTGACGGACTGCGTGATATATGGTACCAAGAAGCTCGTACGACCTCCCTTCAGCTAGCTTATCACCCAGGGCTTTACTGATTTCCAGAGCTTCCTCTCTGTAGCTGATAGATTTTTCGTATTGGCGAAGAACCTCATGAAGACTACTGAGCTTGCTGCAACATGCTTCTTCTTCGTTCTTGTCGCACAGTGTTCTGCTGATCTCGAGCGCTCTCTCGTGACACTCAATGGCTTCTTTATTCTGGCTAAGGGCCTGATACACAGTAGCGAGGTTGGTGTAGGTGGTTTGCTTTAGCTTTTTATCACTAAGGTCTTGCATGATTTCAAGACTGGATTTAAGATAGCTAATAGCTTTGTCATACTGGCGTAAGGCGTAGCAGATACTTCCCAAGACGTTGTAGGACGTACCTTCTCCTCGTCTGTCTCCAACTGCTTTACTGATTTCAACGGCTTTCTCAAGGCATTCTCTTGACTGTTCCTTTTGACCAAGTGCGTTATACACATCGCCAAGATTACCGTACAACTTTCCTTGCTGGCTCTTATCGCCTATCACGTCACTAGCTTCGATAGCTAGCGTAAAATACGCGATACATTTCTCATGCTGTCCAAGAAGACGGCAAAGGCCACCGATGTTGGTACAAGAGGCAGCTTCGCCGCGTTTGTCTCCAATGGCTCTCCTTATTTCTAGTGCTTTTTCTTGATACTCCATCGCCTTTTCGTATTGTCCAAGAGCATAACATACAGAACTCAGGTTACTGTATGATGCTCCTTCTCCTTGGATGTCTCCTGTCTCACGGCTTATTTCAAGTGCTTTCATTTGGCTCTCCATCGATTTGTCATACTGGCCGAGAGCGTAGAACACATTGCCCTGGTTGATGTACGAAGATCTCTCTCCTTGCCTATCGCCAATTTCTGCGCTGATTGCGAGACTTCTTTTGAAGTAATCGATCGCTTTCTTGTACTGGCCTAAATCGTGATAAACACTACCGAGGTTGTTGTATGATCTCCCCTCCCCTCGTTTGTCTCCAATTTCTTTTCTGATCATAAGTGCTTTCTCGTGATTCTCGATTGACTTCTCGTACTGGCCAAGCTCGTAGTAGACGCTGCCAAAGTTGTTGTAGGATGCTGCTTCTCCGTGTTTGTTACCGATTGCTCTCCGTATCTCAAGGCCTCTCTCGTAGCAAACCAGTGCCTTCTGAAACTGGCCAAGATCACTGTACACGCTGCCAAGCTTGTTATGGGATTCCCCTTGTCCTTGCTTTTCCCCGATCGTTTCATAAATTTGAAGGGCTTTCTGCTGACAATCGATCGACTTTTCCAACTGGCCAAGACAATTATACACACCACCGATGCTGCTATAGGACGCACCTTCGACTTGTTTATCTCCGATTTCCTGACTTATCTCAAGAGATTTCTGCAATAAGTCAAGAGCTTCTTGATAATTGGCAATGGCATCATATACGCCACCGAGGTTTAGGTAGGCTCTTCCTTCTCCTATTTTGTCGCCTATTTCTTTGCAGATCTGAATTCCCTTCTCGTAGTAATTTATCGATTTGTCGAATTGGCTAAGGGCATAATACAAAGTGCCAAGATTTGTACAGATCGTGCCCTCTTCGTGTCTGTCCCCAAGTGTCCGGGCGATCTCGAGACCTTTTTCATAGCATTCAAGACATCTATCGTATTGGCCGAGGGCATGATATACTCCGGCGATGTGGCTGTAAGATGTGCCTTCTGCTTGTTTGTTTCCCATTTCTGAACTGATTTCAAGACTTTTCGTCGAGTGCTCGATAGCTTTTTCGAATTCACCAAGGGCGTGGTACACCATGCCGAGACTGCTGTGAGACTTTAATTCTCCTTGTTTGTAATGGAGCTCTTTGCTTATTCCAAGACCTTTCTCTAGATACTCGATCGCTCTTTCGTATTGGCCAAGAGTGTGGTATGCATCTCCGAGACTGTTGTAGGTGTTCCCTTCTCCTTTCTTGTCACCAGTTTCTTTGCCAATCGCAAGAGCTTTCTCGTGGTAATCAATAGATTTCTCATACTGACTGAGAGCATAATAAGCTTTACCCAGGAGATTGTACGAGCGCCCTTGCCCACGTTTGTCTTCCAAATGTTGTCTGATTTCCAGGCCCTTCTCGAAATGAAAGATGGACTTGTCATATTGGCCCTTGAAAAAATACACCTTGCCGATTTTGTTGTGAGATTTGCCTTCCAACGGTTTGTTGCCAATTTCTTCACTGATGGTAAGTCCATTTTCAAAATGCTCGATGGATTTATCGTGCAGACTGAGAGCATAGTACGCTCCACCCAGATTGATGTGTGCTTCTCCTTCTTTTTCCCTATCTCCACCTTTCTTACTGATCGCAAGCGCTTTCTCGAAGTTCTCAACGGATTTCTCATGCTTTCGAAGAGACGTATAGGCAGTTCCAAGCTTGCAGCATGCTTTCCACTGTCCATCTTTATTTCCAGTTTCGGTACAAATCACAAGGGATTTTTCAAAACATTCGATGGATTTCTCGTGTTGACCGAGATCGTGGTAGGCGCTACCGAGGTCGATGTAGGAGTTTCCCTCGGCTTCTTTGTTTTCGGTTTCCTTGTATATCTTTAAGTCTTGAAGTATTCTTTCCACTTCCTCCATTGCAAAACGTTCCTGCCCGATGAGAATGAAAAGCATGATGCTTTATATTTTCACACATTCTATATGTACCTTGAACTTGCCAAGACGCTCGCCTGTTATTTTGTTGTAAACAATTCTTTTTTTTTATGGAGGTAAAAACCGTGCCTGATATGTTTCTGGGTATTAACTGCCATTAAAAAAACGCACAAGTGATCGAAACTATTCGGGGAATGGAAACCAACTAAACATTTATTTGTTGCCCGATGTGTTCTCACGTTTGTGCTATATTTGGCGGTCTTTGTAACGAACAAAATTCTCATCTTCAGAAACTTTTAAGGAACACTGTTAACCACTGTTGAATTAAATAATGGGATTAAAGACTTTGATATAGAGGGTCTCAATGCGGATAACCGTCAACCGTGAAATGGCCAAAAAATTAACCGTTAGCCGTCAAAAATGCAAAAAGAAACCACGACGGCGACGCCGAGGACAACGTCGATTAAAAATGAGTTTATATTTTACCTACGAATCTCGCGGTACCCTAAAGTCATTTACTTTGTTTATCACTGTCAAAGCTATCACGAAACTGAATCTAGGACACTTCGATAAATTCGAAATAAAAATTTAAAAAATTAGCCGTCGTTGTTTAAGTTCTCCAGACAACGCAGAATTTGGTCATTTCACGTTGTTGTTTTGCAGAGGACAGCAAAGAAATGTACCAAGAATTGTAACGCACGTGCACA